ACGTGCCGCGTAAGCGATGATGTCAGCGCAAGACACTACTCCAGGACACACAGCCTCCACAGCAGTCTTAGCAGCATCAATCGCTTCGAACCCCAGCAGAGTCAGATTAATCTCTGCAGTCCTTTCGGTATCTTCGCCTTCAAGCAGCACAGACCCGTCACATCCCTACATTCAACTTCGAAGATGAGAACTCACAGCCGCCTTGACAATATTTCGCACATAACAAAGCACACAGAAAATCACAAGATAGTTGCTTCGAGAAAATTGCCGCAATCTCTACACAGTTCCCACTCGAGCCTATCTCATATCAATCCGACTATTTATCTAAACCATATATTCCCTGAATCTTGGTTCCGTCAGTATTTTTCAAGAGAGCAAGGCAAATTGTATACCTCCACAAAGCAGTCATGAAAGGCCATGCGAATGAGACCCGCTGCAATCTTAAAGTTCTTGTCAATCTCAGCGTTCACAGTATTTGCAATAACGGACTCGGCGTCTGGACACGATGTCTGGTAAAAGTCATCTTGTACTGCAAAAGCAGGCATTAGCATTGCGTCCACTGAGAGAAGCAGAAGCACTGTCAGCGTGCGCAACATGTATAGAGTCCTCGGTGGGGCCATCTTGCTAGAAGCTGCAGCTGTTTTGATTTTTTTGATTTTTTTAGCCACTCAGAACTGGCTTTTCCCTTCCTCCTACAAATGGAACTAACTTTTGCAGCTCAATAAAGCTCCAGTCCTGACGAGTGACAAATGACAAAAGACACTACTTTTTCCTTACAATGTGTTGTGTTGGGACTGGATTTGAGTTATCTATTTATGCGAGAGGCTTTTAGATGTAGACGGCCCCAGTTAGCATCTGTTATCAACATTGTTGTGAAAGTGTAGACAAGACCAGTACTAGGAAAATCTTGGTCTGACCAATTCTGAACTAAACAGTACTTCGATAATCTGGAAGTAACTTGTTGGGCTCAGAAGATCATTCCGGTCAATCCTGAGATCATGTCGCAATATGGATCGCTTGGTGGTGAAGAAGAGAATCTTCGTACTCGAATTTAGACAGCGCTCAGATTCATTTCCACCTGGAGTCGACTGTCCTAGGTGATCAAGACCTTGAGTGACACAGAAAGACAAGAACATTGAAGTTCAGGTGGAAGCGTGGTCAAAGATGTACACGGTGCTAAGATCTTTCAGCTGACTAGATGAACATTGAAACGCAAAAATATTGCAGCTACGATACTGATGCCGAGAGCAGCAATATAGCTGGACATATCATTGTCAATTTCACAACTATTTGTGTCCTTCACGGGAATGTATTGAGATTGTATTATTCTTGAGGGATAGAGAATGTTTGAACAATCAGTTCCCTTAATGGGGATGTTTTGAGAATTTACTTCCGTCATTCTCGATGGATTGAGATATAAAAAACGGGACATCAATGGAATTTTTCCACGTCATCCTATGGAGAAAAATAGAGAAAAATAATAATTTTAATGCCATAACTGATAGCAGCTACCTAGTTCAGCACCTCTTGCCATCTCTAGATTCTATATCCTTCCCTTCGAGAGGACTGGAGATCATTCTGAAACATCATATGATGGTTTTGCCTTGTTGTTTCGAGATAGACCGCTGATAAACATTAGCAAGTTTGGAAGGGATCTGGTTCAGATCACATCTGAAGTACACATTCTACGTAAAGTTTGGCGGAGAAGGGAAAGCGATTTGACCTCAAGAAGGAGATCAAACCCTATGATTACCACATTATTTCTTTCATGTACATCTGCCTGCTTTCGTTTTGACTGCTCAAAATGATGATCTCCATAACTATGACATTCCTTCGAATAAGCATGCTGTAAAAGAAACTGGAAACTTATATGTGGAGTATCTGCGGCAAATATATTTCTCTCCGCATTCTGCACAAACCATATGACAGAAAAATGGAGGAAATAGAAGTTCCGAAAAGCTTGAGGTAGACTGGGAGATGGACGCAGAGTCAGATCCTGCTAAATAGAGATAGGGAGGGAAAATCCGCTTCATCAGAATAGATGTCGATATCCATCGTGAGGTATATGAAATAAAAGTCGAGTCTTCTGATATTAAACCGACCATGACGCTTGTCACGTAAAAGCATTCGCGAATCAAGGCATATCTTATCCAGTCAAATTTCCTCCATCTAGTCAAATTCTTGTCAAGTGGTCAAAATGTTGACCCATTTATTGCAATTGTGTCCACATGTCTCCAATCTATAACAGTAGTTCGAAGGGGCAAATGAAGACTGTTGGTTCATAGAATTCGCTCGAATAATGCCACTCTGCCTTCGGATTCCAAGTCATTTACGCTCTGATCTCATTCAAACCAATTAAAATGAATTAACTTTTAAAATAAATCCATAGCTGAAATCACTATAAATCATACGGTTTGATTCCACATCCCATAATGTATCATGCACTAAGAGAGCTGATTACTCGTGGGTTGATTATATATATCTCATCATGACACTGCAGATGACATCACTCACAAGACTTTACAGGGGATCACTATGAAATATATAGAAGTTATTAACAACCGACATGAATCATGATTTACTTCAAATCGTTGGTAAGGGAAATAGACCTTCATTAAAGCGTCATAAATATAGCTCCAGTAAAGCTCCATTCGAATTTTTTTTCAATGCTGCATGTTATTGACGCTTGCAACTAGTGATGAAGAGTTGACACAAAATCGTATGAAAAGCTGATGACATGCCATTTGATATATCAAACGCTAGATGCATCAAACCTACCGAAGATACGTACTAATATCGCAAAACAAAAATATATCAGGGATGTGCCGAGCTCTCAAAATTAACCAACGAAAGTTGAACTGGTCATAAGCAGCACATCTAATATCCATAAACTCCTATTGAAGGTCTAGCGAAGTGGCAGCTTACCTGACCTCTAATGACCTGGTGTGGATGTATTAGAAATTCTAATAAATGCTTTGGTGCTGAATTGATCACGCGTGAAAGTTGTAGTGAAGAATCTTCATGTACAAAAGAAGGAAAGAGAGATCGAGAGCAGAACCAGGTACGGTTGATCAGACAGGAGGGAATCTGTATTTGGGCCCGATATTCAGGCATGAAATCAGCAGAAGGGAATTGGAGAGTTGAACTTTTCTCTCTTGACGTGTTAATTGCATTCTGACGCGTGCAGTGTTTCTTCTTAACGATCGTCAACTGTGGAGTTTCTGCTGTCTGAATGCACCCGACAGCAGAAAGTCGTGATAGCAGAATGTCCACAGTCGTGACGCTCTTGGATTACACTTTTGAGGTACACGTTCCACGCTAAGGGTGAGACTGGAGAAGGTTGACGACAGAGAAGAAAAGGCAATTTTAAATCAACAAGAAGATTCAAACCTAATCATATGCTCAGTTTCCTCTCTTGTGTAGCTAATTCTTCGGCTGCTCTTTCGCCCTGACTGCTCAAAATGGTCCTCCCTGTGACTGTAACACTCTGTAATCTATGTGCTTAATATTTGTGCTCTTTAACTTTGATACTTGTCTGCAGAATATTTTTGGCCATATATTTCTCTCCCCATTGTTCACGCTCCAAATCACCGGAGATCGGAACTATAGAAATTTCCAAATTGCTCGAGGTAGAGCTGCAGACGCAGGTAGAATGACATACCGCCGGAAATTGATTGGGGAATCCGATATATCGAACATGGATGTCATTCCCCATGCGTGGACGTGTACGTAATAGTTGCTTGAATCTTCTTAATAAAGACGACCATGATGCTTGTTGCATACCAGCATAAGCCGGCCAAGGCCTTTCTTACCATGTAGTCAAATTTTTGTTCTTGTGAATTGGTCAAAACGTTCCACCGATTTCTTGCAATGACGACCTCTTTTCTTCAACTGACAAGGCATCGAAAGGGCGAATGAAGAAAGAAATTTATTCCATAGGACTGTCGGGTCTATCCGTGACCAGGCCGCATATTCTTCTGAAAAACAGAAAAAAAAGACAAAAGCTTCAAACGACATTTTCATGACCAATTTTTCATACACTGAGCAGATTCTGAGAACGATCTGCGGTAGTCTCCGAGGGAAAGATACACAATTTGGACGTGTTCAAAGGTCTTGTACTCACCTCCATAGGCAACTACGAATTCTATCTATCAAAAGATTATTTGTTCTGTATTTGAAGAACGACGCGGAATATTTCCATGTACTTAATATTTTTGAAAATCTCAATCCTTGAAAAATGATGGAAAGAAACACAAAAAACATTTCAATTAAGGAGACCGATAGTTGTGGCAGAGACTAGTATTTACTGCAAATGAATATCCCGCAACTTTTGTCCTCTTGCATAATGAAACTATTTATATTACTGCACCCCGTCTAAACTGCTGTCAGACATTATATGGAACCTGTCATGGGAATGAGTTTCAAGGTTCATTTAGTCAATGGAAGGATCTTAGAGGCATATACATGTCTGAACAAGTCACCAGCTGTAGCATCAATTTCTAATATTTATCTGTCACTCGAAGTCTTGATCACCTATGTCACCCCACTCCAGTTCACATTTGGTACGAGCCCGGTTTGTTTTCCACTAAAGAGATTCTTTAATTCATCACTATGAAGTGATAGCATAACAAAGCAATCGATGTTCTCTCATCATCTCAGAAAACTTCGGAAAGTTTTTAGGATCCCATCATTTTCCTCCCATATTATCGAACTTACTGTTTCTCAGAGAAGTGGTCAGATTGATATTCTCTACTATCGGATTAAATACTTACTCGTGAAGTCTACATCTAACAGCCTCTGAAATAAGTAGATGACTGAACTCCAGTACCAACACAACACACTGTAAGGAAACAGAAGTGTCTTCTGTCACTTGTCACTCGTGAGGACTGGAGCTTTATTGAGCTGCAAAACCCAGTTCCATTTGTAGGAGGAAGGGAAAAGCTAGTTCTGAGTGGCTAAAAAAATCAAAAAAAATTAAAACAGCTGCAGCTTCCAGCAAGATGGCCCCATCGAAGACTCTATTCATGTTGCGTACGCTGACAGTGCTTCTGTTTCTTTCAGTGGATGCAACGCTAATGCCTGCTTTTGCAGTACATGATGATTTTTACCGGACATCGTGTCCAGACGCCGAGTCCGTGATTGCAAAAGCTGTGAACGCTGAGCTTGACAAGAACTTGAAGAAGGCAGCGGGTCTCATTCGCATGGCCTTTCATGACTGCTTTGTGGAGGTATGCAATTTGCATTGCTCTGTTGAAAAACACTGACTAAACCAAGATTCAGGAAATATATCGTATAGATGAATAGTCGGATTGATATGAGATAGGCTCGAAAGGGAACTTTGTAGAAATTGCGACAACTCTCTCGAAGCGATTATCTTGTGCTTTTCTGTGTGCTTTGTTATGTGCGAAATATTGTCAAGGCGGCTGTGAGTTCTCATCTTCGAGGTTGTTTGTAGGGATGTGATGGCTCTGTGCTGCTTGATGGCGAGGATACCGAAAAGACTGCAGAGATTAATTTGACTCTGCTGGGGTTCGATGTGATTGATGCGGCCAAGGCTGCTGTGGAGGCTGTGTGTCCTGGAGTAGTGTCTTGCGCTGATATTATCGCTTACGCAGCACGTGACAGCACTGTGAAGGTAGTTACATGGCAAAAGAATTTTCAGTTTCTTCAATGTCAAGCAGGCTTGTACTTATCCTGATGCGTAGCTCGAAATCAAAGCAGCTGTTTTGGATAGATACCACACTAATATTTTGTGAAATTAGATTCATCTTTATTACTTTGATCGAGTGAAGAACTGATCTGAAATTTCATAAGACAGTTAGTGATTCGATGCTCATTAGACATTCGGTGAACGTGTGTCGGGGCAGAGCTACGAATCTATTTCATCTATCGGCTTTTGGTAGTAAAATCTTCAATATTGAGATGAAGCTGACTCTTCTTTCATTCATTCTGGCCTCGATACAGCTGAATGGCACTGGCTGGGTGGTACAAGGAGGAAGAAAAGATGGAACTTATTCCAGCGCTGCAGCTGCACAGAAAGATCTGCCATTGCCAACATTTGACGCCTCCCAACTCATAGATGCGTTTGCTCGACGTGGTCTCTCCACAAAGCAAATGGTTGTTCTCTCAGGTAAGATCAATCAAAGAAGAATTTCTTTATCAGCGCACAAATACCTCCGTTGTGACCAAGTGAACTCATGTTGTATGCTGGGAGCCAAGTCATGCCTCTGTTTGGTAGACTGCATTGCCCTGATGAACTATGTGGACTCCGATTATTATTGCTGAATAGAGATCCATGGCCAAATGCAGGATCACACACCGTTGGAATTGGACACTGCGACAAATTCACCGAGAGGCTATACAAGTTCAGCAAAACTCATGACACGGACCCGACATTGAACGCCACATTGGCAAAGCAGCTGAAGCTGGAGTGTCCCCGCCAGACCTTCAACACAACCATCGAGATCTTCATAGACACCATCACGCCGGGCCAGTTCGACTCCAAGTACTACGTGGGCCTTACGAGACGCAACGGCTTGTTCACGTCCGACCAGACCCTCTTCGAAGATAGTCGCACTCAGAAACTTGTGGAGAGTCTGATCAGTGAACGGCTTTTCGACTCGGAATTCGGTGAAGCTATGCGCGCATTGGGGAGAGTAGGAGTGAAAACAGAGGGCCAGGTCCGCAGGGACTGCTGCAAGGTGAACGACAAATAAATCGGCTAGCTAGAGACTCATTGTTTAGCGAGGATTGTGGAATTTGTTAATATCTTTATCTAGAATCATAAGAAACTATTACTTCTTGCCCAATTAGAGACCAGTAAAACAGTAAGGTAGCAGTACTGGGTGCATATTGGATTCATGGAAAGCTTGGAGAATAAATAACAGGGAGATTATGCCCAGTGAGTTTTTGTCTTGGTTGACAACAAGTCCCCACCTCCTCATCAACATGAGCGTAAAATTTCAGAGGAAGTATTTTGAAATTTCAGTGTTTGTGTGGGATCTTCAATAATTCCAGCATGAGGTTACAAACATCAAATTGTAGTCAAAAACTGCTTTTTTATATAATGTGAAATTTTACATGATATTGATCACCGCATGTATTGGAGAACTTTTTCAGAAGAGAGGAGATTCGCCAGGTGCATTTTTCTATCCAGATGATAAGAACTTCCACTGATAAAACATATCCTTGCAATGCGAATCTAATGACCAAAAGGCTGCTTCAGCTTTATTCTCATCTCGAATCCGCAACTGATGATATCTGGCTCGTAATCAAAAGATTGGAAATCCTTTGCATGACAAACTAGATCAAAGATTTTTTAAGCATGAAACATCGATAAAATTTTGTCTTTCAATTGATGGATGTAAAGTCATTACACATGCGTCTATGTGCATAATTGCCATACACAACCCTCTTGACTGACATCACCACAGCAAAACCATACTGTTCCCTTTGATATCTCCACCATTCCAGCCTCAAGAAGGTCTTACACCTGCTTTGTATCAGATCTCTCTCCATATTGCTGTATTTCTAGAGATGAGGGAAGACAGGTGCATCAGTTATAGAGTCAGTTCGTATACCAGGTCCCCTTCGCCTCCGAAGTCATTCAAAATCAACGCAAACAGTACCTTAAAGTCCTCAGAATCCTCTCCATCCTACGTCTATCTTCTCCTTTTTTCTTAAGAACAATGTCAATTTCATAATAACCTGTTCATGTACACTAGTGGTAGAATATAGGTTTCTTGGAATCTCTCACCTACGTCTCAACTCCTTATTCAGTACATGATATCAAAACTGAAATGCTTGTGGCTCAGTCATCCCATTAATCATGTTGATCAAACAACGCATTTGATTATACATCTCTCAACGGTTTTCTCTAGTCTTCTGGTGGAACTCATGTAAATTATCTAGCTTGTTAGTCCTTATTTCTTTGTAGTCTTTCTCATTTCACCTCGGCATACTCTTGCGTTTTAATCTCTGTTTTGTGCCAAAGATTAACTCGCACCAGTAAACACTATACTTGATATAATGAAGGTATAATTTGGAAATAAATTTTCACTACTCAATCGCATTAAGAGTCATACTTTTGGATGACAGACCCGAATTCATGGTGCATAATGTATATGACTAATCTCTAAGATTCATTGTAAATCTTAGATATTGGCTATGTCTAACAAATGTAGTGTGGACTTATTCTTCAAGCTATCACTAACACAACTCTGTCATTTTCCACCGATAGAAACTCAAGATCTTAAGTAGAGCGTAAAGTTCATGGTTGATATGGAAAATCTGAATTTTTTACATCTGAAAATTCTCCCCTGACGTTGATGAGGTGATGGGAGAATGTTGTGAGCCTTGACAAACACTGACTAACATAATCTCCATGTTTTGTATTCACCAAGCTTTCCATAAATCCAATATACACTAAGTACTGTTTTATTGCCCTCCAATTGAGCACCAAATAATCGATTCTCATTATTCTAGATCAAAATCGATTCTCATTATTCAATTTCACAATCCCTGGCTAAACATTAAGTCCCTAGGTAGCCGACTTTTTACTCGTTCACCTTGACAGTTCTTGCAGACCTGGCCTTCTGTTTTCACTGCGCGCATCGCTTCACTGAATTCCGAGTGGAACAGCCGCTCATTGATCAGAGCCTCCACAAGTTTCTGTATGCGACTATCGACGAAGAGGGTCTGGTCGGAAGTGAACAAGCCGTTGCGTGTCGTAAAGCCATGGTAGAACTTGGAGTCGAACTGGCCCGGCGTGATGGTGTCCATGAAGATCTCGATGGTTTCGTTGAAGGTCTGGCAGGTACACTCCAGCTTCAGCTGCTTCACCATATTGGCCTTCAATGACCGGTCCGTGATACAACGTGAAATGCTGATATCTCTTTGATCGATTGAAGAACTGATCTATATCAAAATTTCACAAGACATTCAGTGCACATGTCTTGGGGCAAGACTACGAATCTCCTTCACCAGCCGGTTCGTGGTAGTAAATTTATCATCATAGGGATAAAGCTGAATCTTTCTTTCATATATTCTGGCATGGATACAGCTGAATGTCACTGTGATAATGTCAGCACAAGACACAAATCCAGGACAAACAAACTCCACAGCAATCTTGAAAAGCCATGCGAATGAAGCCCGCTGCATCCTTCAAGTTCTTGTCAAGCTCAGCGTTCACAGCTTTTGCAATCACGGACTCGGCTTCTGAACATGATGTCCGGTAAAAGTCATCACATACTGCAAAATCAGGCATCAGCTTTGCGTCCACTGAGAGAAACAGAAGCACTGTCAGTGTGCACAGCATGTATAGATTCTTCAATGGGTCCATCTTGCTGGAAGCTGCAGCTGTTTTGATTTATAAATTCTCAGCTCTCGCCACTCAGCACTGGCTTTTCCCTTCCTCCTGCAAATGGAACTCGATTCTGCAGCTCAATAAAGCTCCAGTCCTGACGAGATACAAGTTACAGAAGACACTTCAGACTCCTCACAGTGTTGTTTTGGTACTGGATTTCATTCATCTATTTATTTCAGAGGTGGTTAGATGTAGACTTCACGAGTAAGTATCTATTCCGGACATTGATGGGGAAGCGGAAAGTGGACGGTAATGACAGAATATTAGTCTGACTTCTTCTTGGAGAAAGAGTAAATTGGACAATATGGGAGTAAAATGTTGGTATCACAAGAACTTTCCGAAGTTTCTGAGATACTTCAAATACACAACATATATTATTTTGATAGATAGTTTCACAGTTGCCTACGGAAAGGGGTACAAGACCTTTGGACACGTCCAGATTCTATATCTTTCCCTTGAAGACGGCCGCAGATCGTTCTCAGAATCTGCTCAGTGTATGAAAAAATGGGCATGAGAATGTTGTGTCAAGGTTTTGTTTTTTTGTTTTTCAAAAGAAAATGCTGCATTGTCACGGATAGACCCCGTGATTTAATTCCATAAATCACGGGACTAATCATAGAATTGAAGATTTGTCAAGATATTGGAACGTCGCTGGATTGCCATTCTCACGGGTGTATGAGTCTGCTCGATGTATGAGTCTGCTCGACAAAGAGTACAGAACACGAGATAGTAAAAACAAAACCGTATGTCTTACCTGTAATTTTTAGCATAGCCGAATCCGGCAAACAACCGGGTGGAACTACAGCCAATATAGACAAATCAAACTGAAGAGCATACACGGAACATTGGGGTGCACCTGTGGAACACCAGTCCAAGAACTCAAGATATAGCAGGTGGTTTGTATTCACGACTTACAATCAATTGATATAGGCACGGAGTATGATAGCCAAGGAATCAGCGCTAATTTTCAAAAGAGCTCTACGTAGTGGAGGAGATTATCAATTGGCACCCACACAAGTACAGCTTGAACCTCTTACTATTGATCCTCATGCAGTTGTCAAATAGGTCATGCTTCCCTCCAGTGTGGCTACACAACGACTCCATCTGCTCGTACCTGTTCAAGAACGTGAAATTTTAGTGATCACTTAGAATCACTTTTGAGCATAAACCATTCATTTGACTCTGTGCTTTATGGCAAAGATGTTAGGATAAATCACCTTCGTTATGACGCGGTTCTGCTCGTAGAACTCGTGAAACGATCTTGAATTACGTATCCGTATCCAGGATTACATTCATGCCTTCTTGATGACGGAGAATCGATGTCA